AAGGTATTCTCGAACAGAGCCACGGGTATCAACCGACATCTATGAACCATCGTACGAGTGGATTTTCGCGAACGGTACGAATGTCTTTTGAATTATCCAACGGAACCCTATTGTAGCCTGTATGATGCTGCATGCTTGAAATGAAATTTATAAGCGAAATTCTTGCTGCTAGGACAGTGATCGTAAAGGATGGGGATAAAGGGAATGAAAATTGAGAACTGTTTTGCTCGAATCGAAAGTCCGAGTCTTCTTGCTCGTTTTTGTTTACGTAAATGTTTACGTACCTGTGTCTGGTATCTTTTTTTGTCTAATAAATTAATACTCGCACGTTAGTCCTCCTTCTATCAGGATCTATTCAGATGTCTTCTGACTGTGACTGTACACACGTACGCGATATAGACAGCATCCAATAATTAGAGATTTAATACGAATGAAAGATATCAAGAAGTCAAAATCACAAACATCATCTCTGAAGGACTGATTGATATTTACAATTACAAATTTTATCGAAGTTTAAACGTACGCAATATTTCTACATACCCACATATTCTAGTACAGGAGCCATGCTTAAAAATAAATTACACCGTAATTACTATTGTCCATTCAGTTTTTTTTTCTTATCAGGTAACAGGCAACATTCATACGAAGCCGTTCTTTCATCCCCGTAATGTAGCTTGTATTTGAGTAGTAAGAAATATGCAAATACACCAGCAAATTGTGGCCAATATTAACAGATACGTATCGCGGTCGTCGGGTGGAACCAAAAACGATAAAGCACGACACAAGCAGAACGTATCCATTCGGTACGCTCTCACCAAGGGGCAAACAATAATTACAAAGCTCGCCCGTAGTCTTGGACAACTGCGAGGAAATTGCGATACAATCTGCAGACCGTGCACACCTAGAGTTGTTCGCTCTTTCTGTTTCTTCAGCGGGGGACCAGCGCCCCGACCGCGAGATAACCCGGTTCCTTCGTTGCGCACGGATCCTCCTAGAGTTGTTCGCTCGTTGCTTCGTTTTCTATTATTAAGTTTCGAAACGTCGCGAAAAGAGCCGGGTGAATGTGTTCCGGCGGCGTGGGATAACTCGAGGCAACGCTGATATTGCCGAGAATCTTGCCAAATTGTCTCAATAAGTGTTGCCAATGTTGTGCCCGTGTGCAACTTCTTGCTCTGCACCGCGCTCTGATACGTTCTGATGAGCGGTGGGGTGAATGGTGTCGCGCAACCTGCTTCCCCCTACCGAGTGATTATCAACCCTTGCTCGGCTCTGGAGGTTAATCGAGTCACCGCGGGAAGAAATTTCGGCTTCATTGCCCTAAGAGGAACCTGCTTCTCTCCTATCGTACGCTCGCGATAAAGCCGGCATTCTGCCGGGCTATTTTCTCTCTCCTCGACTTCCTCCTTTCCTCTCCTTTTTGCTTTTCTCGAGTTTACAGTGTCTCTGGCAGCGAAACGGCGAGAGCAAAGAGAAACAACTTTCTTTGGTAGAAAAAAATTTTAACTGTCGGTGTGTGTGTGTGTGTGTATGTATATATATGAAAAATCTGAAGGTTTGAATGGAGTTTGTTCGTCGCTCGATTAGAGTACGATTTCTTTTCATACTGCCTCGAAGTTTCTTTCTGCAAGATTGAAGTGAAATAAAGATCTTTTTAATAGTTTGTCAGTGCAACGTAATGAGAGTGAGAAAAAGTTTCTATAAATATTATAATGCTTTTGGGAGCCATGAATTGTGAAATTCTTTGCGCTCTTAGTGTTTGATAATAACTTTTAGATAACGAAATGTAAAGCTTATCACGATCGCAGTAAATTATTACGCATTTGTTTATCTTCGCTCGCGGATATTCACTTATCAGTCTTCGAATTATAAAATTGCAAAGCTAAATATTAGTCGTAAATTATTCGGCAAAGCCACTTGTATTAACACAGTTGATCAAACAGAATATTGGACTACAAAAATATTTATAATTCAGAAACTTCGACCGTTATGAATACTAAATACGTTAATACAGTGGCTTTCGGAAATAATCAACCTGCAAAGTGTTTAATAATTATTCGCGCATACATTAAATAATAAATATATTCACATATTTAACAAACGTTAAAGACACGTTGAAATACATTTAAATAAATTATTCTCTTCGGTATTAATATTAATACATTTGCCCACAAAATTATACACTTTCCTATACATACTCATGTATATATTATACTTTTTTTTTTGTTAAAAAGTATTAATCAATAATCAACTTGATGTGTGAGTTAATCAATATACACCGCACCTTATAAAATATGGTATCGCAAGAATTTGATAATGCAAGAAGAAGTGAAATGGAATTTCACTCTAGCCAAAAAAACCGTGCTTGTTTGGCCATTATTTTACTTGTCTTTCGTTCCAAGAAAAGTTTAATCATTTGTCAGGGAGCCAAAAAAATAAAAGAAAAAAAGTTATGTGCAATTAATCAAAGAGATGACAAATCACGA